CATTATAGTTAAGTCACAGTTAGATCCTATAAGAATTTTGAAATTTGTTGATACCATTTTGACAAACGCTCTTTACCATGGACATTTGCCACAAAATCATGGAGGAATGTGGAAGCTGGCCTCTTGCCCGCCGACTATGATCCAGGTCGGAGATCCCATTTGGCAGTTAACCTTCGCCATTAGCAGCTTACCCTGGGTGCCCCTGGTTCTGCACTTTCCCTTCATTCGAATGGACCTGAACGCTAGCTCCCTGGTGGCTGTTTGCATGAAGAAACCCACAAATTGTCCTCAGCAGTACTTAGCTGCGATCGTTATGGAACTAAATTTGGCATGAGGACTTCGTGGGTCCCTGGTACTTAGCCGTGAATGTTATGGAACTGTTTTTGGCATGAGGTGACCGTGCGGCTTGTTCTGGGGTTGAACGACTTTGCAACCCACCAGGAGAGCGCTTTTGGAGAGAAGGTGCCTGAGACTAAGGGCACAAACGCTACCCAAGAGCTACCCGGAGCACCTCATATTCCGGACGCAGGAGCTCCCGAAAGTTGACCGGCCAAAGCCCCAAATGCCCTGGAACTATTTTGGGCATAGGACCACGTGTGCGGCTGGTTAGAACTTTAGCATGGTGTTTCCTCTAGACTGCATGGATCTGAGTGCTATGTGGAGAACTTGGGCGCTCACATCAGGGCTATTTGGGGATGTATTATTTGTGGGGTTATTGTATATTTTTATGTTGTTTTGGGGTATTTTTATGTTTTTTATTTTTGTGTTTGCCTCTCTGTTCTTGGGAGATAATTAGCTTACCCTCTCTTTAACTCAATTATCTCCAGGCACATAGATTTATGGGAGGGGCTTGCATTGTATTGTGTGGAGACCCCCTGATGGGGGTTGTGTATATAAGCAGGCAACTTGGCCATAAATAAACCAGTTCATTTACAACCTTCACTCAGTTCACTACCCCACTACCCCAAATCCCAATGCATATTTAGACAAATTTAGTTTTTTTGTTTCACTCTAATGGCCATTAGGTGTAAACCCACCTGCCATTTCAGGTAACTTAAAGGGATACTCTAAGCTCCATGCCCACTTCCGTGATTTAAAGTGGTCATGGTGTTTGGAGTCTGCATGTGCAGCGTTTTAGTTTGAAAGAGTTAAAGCACATGGTTGTTGGAGGTTAAATTCCAAGCCCGAAACTAAGCAGATGAAATATTCTTGCATCGTTTTGTTATAATATACAGATTTGTGTGATTATAAGGTATAAAAAAATCACACTTTCAGATACACTACCCTCTCCTGTACGGGAATCAATAAACCCAATACAAGTTATATGTCTCTATAAATACGATTTTATCTTAATATGCAATTAGAATTAATTAATAAACATCAAATAATTACAATCAATATATACAGTTCAATCCCTTTCAATTCACTACACAAGTCAACAAAATATATTTAGTAGAAGGTGTCTATTAGTCAAAGATTTCCATTCCGTAGTATAATTTAGAATTCCCGAAGAGCATATTTCGTGTGTGGGTGTCCTACATACGGAAAATAACCATTTCATAGACATTCTCTAAAGATAATCGCCAGCAAATAGGCACATCAAGTACATAAAATGATTGCAGTAGATGGTGGTGAAATGCTAACTATCCCTGCAACCACATCACCTTTTTTTTTGAGTACCTAAAATCAGTCACGGCTTACTGACCGCTCAGCTCCCATGTAATGGTATCCAGGGAATACCAAAAGGAGGTTGTGGCTTAGTCATCACTCAACTCTGGCGCAATGGCGTCTGCGAAGTACCAAAAGGTAGTTGTGACATTGTAATCACTCAACTTCAAAGCATAGTTTTGTTATAAATAAAAACATTCAGGAATATATTAGAGTTCATAAACAGGCACTTATCCATTAGTTACAATGACTTGATTTCATTTAAAAAAATAAAAAAATAAATTAAAATATGTATTAATTATGAAACACAGCCAGGCTGCATTTTACAAAATATATTGGTATTTCACAGTCGGCAATGAGTCACAAGCAGCAGTCTTTCAGGGTCAAGATGATTTTAATGTGTAGGCAGTCAGTGCTTCCGTTTATCTGGAAAAGAAAAAAATATATCCAAAGGGAATTCATTTTCATTTAATAAAAGAAGGCAAAACATGCTTTTTAAATAATTTGCTACAAACAAAGCAGCACTTATCATTGATTAGCTTCCAAAGTGTTTTAATTTATTAAACTGAAAAAAAAAATTTGCTAGCCTCCTGGAGCATGTACAGTCTTCTAGTGTACATTAATATCCACATTCTGTGTTTGTATCTGTGTGTGATATGGTCTGTTTATGGCACACTCTCCTTCATGCAAATGTCCTTAATGTGTGCTACTATTTATAGTTTACTGGGAAATGGTCAAAAAGCATACATTTGAGAAACAGGTTTTAAATGTTTGCATTTGTTAATTCAGCCTCCATATATCCCTACTCCCATCATATACAACTCTTTCTATTTCCTGCTGTGTTGTTCTTAACTTAAAGGTCAACTGTCACTTCAAAACCATTTTAATATAATAATCTTTTCATCAGTTTTTGAAAGGAAATATATTCTCTGCTAAATGAAGTATATGTGTAAAAATGTGAAGAAAAAAAATAAACTCATCCCAACCTTTTATATATAACAGGATCCTCCAGCCATAGACATGTACATCGGGTCAGACAGTGTTAGAAAACCGAAGGTTAATCATTACAAACGTCTCTACTTTACTCCATGCACAGAAACAGAGGAAACCATAGAGACTAACTCTTGTTTTTTTTTTTTGGTTTTTTTTTACATTTACTTCATTTTAAAGAAAATATACCTTTAAAAACTTGATGAAAGGATTATTGCATTAAAGTAGTTTTAAGGTGACAGATGCCCATTAATCCCATCCAACTCAATTCATGCCGACATCTTTACTTCCTTGACCATCTTTATCTAGGATCTGGGTCCTATCCCTTTTCTTCCAGCATACAGTGGAGAACTGATTAGTTCCATAAATAAAGTCTGAAGGTATGTATAGTGTTGCGCAGGTATGGTGTGTGTTGTGTTGGTATGCATAGTATTCCCCAAAAATTTTTAAAAGTCCCGTAAGTCACTGTTGCGCCCAGGCATGGTACTTACTCTTATTGGCCTATTTTTCATGGTCCATCTTAGACAGTAGTTGGGTGTTTTGTCTTAGACAGTAGGTGGGTGTTTTGTTTGATACTTGACCCTAGCTATACCCTTGAATTACCAAAGATTGCCTCGTGTAGGCATGACAATTAAAAATCCCCATTTTCATTGTCAAGTCCACTGATTCAGACATTTGTTGACAGAAATTATTTGTACCCTGCAATAACAGTATTAAAGGAACACCACACAACCAACGTGACTTTTAATGTCATTCTTTAAAATGCCATGACATTAATTATAGTCTATGTCTTTATAAAAATCCCCACCGGTCAGTTTGTCTTAATTGAATGCCATCTTCAAATATTTAAAATCTAAAAGTTGAAAAAAAATTACTTTCTAAGTTATAAAAAAATATTTTAATGTAATAGTCTGCGCAGCTGTTGTCACATATAGAACAAAACATCACTCTCTGAATAATGAACTGCAAGGGCATACGGACCTAGTTATGGAACCAGATCATAGATGGAAGTATACAAGTGACTGCCAGGATTCAGACAAAAGAACTGCAAAGAGATGGCCAGTTTAACTTCTTCAGAACCAGGCAATAGGCAAATCGTTTGCTATTGTGACAATCCTGACATGTACTTGATCCTAATGTGAGTTAAATATCCATAATTACCGACACAACGTAGAACAAAAGCAAGATTGTAAAAAATAGCAATAAATAATTTTAAGTCAGTCCCAGAGCCTGCATTATAAATCATTCACAGGTTCAAAACAATATCAGTATTTCTATTTGTACCCAATTATCTTCTGTAATGCAGGGACTTTAACCCATTAAGGACACAACTTCTGGAATAAAAGGGAATCATGACGGAATATTTCCATCATCTGTCCTTAAGGGGTTAAATAAATTATAGTCAGGTAGACATTATGTGCACCAATACAACTTGAATTAATTTTACAGAATTGGACTCCAGGAATAATCTGTGGTTTTGCGTGCTCTATAATATGTAGCAAAAAAAAAAGGTGAGAGCTAAAAGCTGGATGTAAGAAAACACACTTAAAAGGGAGTTTAGGGGCACATTGGCCTTCAAGCGGTGCACGACAATTATAGTCAGTCCATCCTTGTACATATAAATATATCTAAGAAGATCTCAGTATTCTCAGAATACTCTTGCGACCCATTTTTTGCTCTCCATTAGTTTAAAGGGTAATCCAGACGTGGACCCCTTGCTCACGGTGCCTAGAGAGATACCAGCTATGCCTCACTGATGATGCCTAACAAGGCTGAAACGATCGTCTGGGGTTGCTGTATCTCTCATGTAGAGAAAACTTGCTGGCATTTCGGATCTGGACTGCCCGTATGGGTAGGACAAGTCTGATATGCTTCAGATATGTTCTCTCTGTAATGGCACAAGATGAGCTAAAACCAGCTTGAGTTCTGAGCAGGGACCCACCGAAGAGCAGGCTATTTTTTTAGCTGCTGTCCGTTCTCTTAATACTCTTGCGACCCATTTTTTGCTCTCCATATCTAATAAGATCATAGTCACTTTAATTGACAAACAGACTTATAAACACTGATCAGTCATTAACATTAAAACCACTGACAGGGGAAGTAAATAGCATTGATTATATAGTTACAATGGCACCTGTCAAGGGGTGGGATATGTTAGGCAGCAAGTGAGCAGTCAGTTCTTGAATTTCATGTATTGGAAGCAGGAAAAATGGGCAAGTTATAATATCAGAGTAAATTTGACATGGGCCAAATACTTGGCCTCCACCTGCAGAGGAATTAAAAGGACATCACAGACAGCAAAAGATAATGTTGGGGTAATTGACAGCCCTGAAGATGCTATGATGTTTACAGAGGATGATGTTTCTCAAATAATTGATCCTACTCCACAACTCCACAGAGGATCAGGTAAGCTGCCACACTCACGATGGCTACCTCTGCACAAATTGATGCAGACTCTGCCACAAGTAAGATGGCTACTGCCACCTTCTAGGTGGCTACTAGAGGAAGAGTTGCCACAACAAATATGGATGCCGAAACAGAAGAATTATCTAAATTTTAAGGCGTACTTCCTTCTCGATCTATGGAAACCATAACAACTTTGCTAATAGCATCTGACTCAGTATGGGAAATCCTACAAGATATACAGAAAGATTTGAGAGAATTTAGAAATGAAGTTAGATCAGAGTTTGCGACAATGAAGCAGAGTGTTGCAATGCTGGAATGTAGAGCGGATACTACTGACGACATTCTAACAAATCATGCAGTGGAAATTGAAGATCTTCAAAAAATTTTTACAGGCTACTAAAACAAAAATTAGTGACTTGGAAGACAGGAGCAGGAGAAATAATATTAGAGTGCATGGGATCCCTCACTCTATTCAACCTGCTGAGTTGGCCGATTACATGAGAGCTATAATGCGTTCAGTACGTCCAAATCTAACTGAAACGGACTTAACAATTGATCATATATATTGCCTTCAAAAACCGGATCCTAAGAATGCTCCTAGGGATGTAATAGCAAGGATTCATTGTTTCACAGTAAAAGAATATTTTCTGATGGCATTGAGATCTACTGAGTTTCCAAACGAATTTCGTCATGTAAAAATTTTCCAAGATTTTTTCCCATGCACAATGCAAAAAAGGAGAGAATTTGGGCAATTCACTTTGGAATTATGCCGGATAAATATTCGCTACAGATGGGGTTCCCAGTTATAGTTTTTTTTATCCATTTGGATGGACGCAATTATACCATAGTCTCCCCAGAAGGAATGGATATACCTACAGCTTTACAACCCAGGACGACAACTCATCGTTCCAAAAAGGTAAGACGTCTTAAGATGATACCTAAATATACTAATCCTGATCCTGACTCCTGAATTTTGTCTGCTGTTTCTGGCTTTCAATAAGAAACTTTATATGCTGTTTGTTAAGATGGCGGTTCCTGTTGTCTGATTCTTGGATTTCGTTATGGATGTGAGGTTGTTAAATCCTGATTCCTGTCTTTGATGTTCTGACCCAGGATTGCTAATTCTCATATTCTTCAATTTTTCATTTGGCTCTTGGTTCTTGGTTCCTGGCTCCTGATAAAGCTGCAAGTTTAAAGTGACTGACTTGATTATTACATGAACATTAAAACTCTTAAGCCTTACATGAACATTAAAACCACTTCAGCTGGAAGGCTATTCCCATGCATCCACTACCCTCTCAGTAAAGTAATACTTCCTGATATTATTTTTAAACCTTTGTCCCTCTAATTTAAGACTATGTGCTCTTGTTGTGGTGGTTTTTCTTCTTTTAAATATAGTCTTGGATGCTTGTGTAATAGACATGTCTCCATTAGAAAAAACTTACTATTCAAATCCTGGTCAGAGACAAACCATCTTTATGGGCTATGCTTATTTTGCCGGGACACTTGGTCCAAAATTAGACTACATGACAAAATGGGAGAGCGAGCTGAACAAAACCTTCACAGTTGAGGAATGGCATAAGACCATGTTAGCTTTGTGAGGAGTCACACAATCCGCTGCCCTTTTAGAGTCACACTATAAACTTAGGTGGTACTTTACTCCCTCCAGACTTTTCAATTTAAAACTATTAAATACAAACAAATGCTGGAGGGAAGGTGGAGAGGTAGACACACTTCATCATATCATTTGGTCATGTCCAAAACTCACACAATATTGGAAAGATATAAACACATTAATTGGAATCGTTACCACTAATTCCAACTCTTTCACCCACAATGTGTTTCCTGAAGAAATTCCCAGATGGTTTACCCACAATACAGAAATTATAATACGTCATATCCTGATCTGAGCAACCTCAGTCATTCCTCGATACTGGAAATCAGACACTATTTCTTCTATGACAGAGGTGTTAAACAACATTCTAGAGACCAAAAGGTGTGAATTGGCCTTTAGAGCACCCTCATACACTCTGGAAACCGTAAGGTATGAATGGGGACTGTGGGAGCGGGACATCATAAAAAGATATTCACTTTAACACTTATTTCACTTGACCAGATACTAACATAGAAAGCTATCCAATATTATAATTTTAAGAAAAAAAAAACAAGACACAGCAGATCTGAGATCTTTTTATTATTTTTTTGTTGTTTGTTGTAACAAACAATTTCATCTACATATGCAATTAATACAATGCAATTTCATCTACATATGCAATTTTTGGGAAAGTTAATTCATACAGTGTTATTGTCAATATTGTTACTGAATAATTTTTAATAATAATTAAAAAAAAATTGAAAAGAAAACTTGTGGAGTCTATGCCTCGATGCATCAAAGCTGCTTTGGCATCACAAGGGGGACCTACACAATATTAGGCAGGTGGAGTTAATGTTGTGGCTGAAAAGTGTATACTGGTAGACTTATATACACATACATTAGAGGGGAACTCCAACTGCCATGACCACTCCTGCTTTTAGAAGTGGCCATCGTGTTAGTAGTCTGTATGTGCAGCGTTTTAGCTTGAAATTATGCATATACTGAGATACGTGCACTTTTGAGGCTAGGAAATGCCATGGCACATGGGATTTTGACAGCAAAAGTACTCTGTTCCGGACTGTCAAATGTCAATTCTGTGCAAAAATATGACCGGTCGGCAGCACACACCATATGCTGGCAACATATGTAATTAGCTTCTGCCTTGCAGGCTTTGCCTTTATCTCCCCTCCCTCCTTCCTAAACTAAAGCCCTCCCCAACTCCCTATCTCTTCATTATTTAAAAAAAATGTCCTCCTTATTTCTTTCCCCACTTCCTTTCCTCACTAGCTCAGAGCGTACACATTTGCTTTGAGGTGGTTAAATGATCTAATTGGACATTGTGATGGCTGTTGTGATGGCTACTGTGATGTCAGACGGGGTGCTAAGCAGCCCCAGGAGCTTCAACTGCATTTTAAGCAATGTTTCCCATGACTCAATTGAATGTTAGTGCTTTATATATAGGTGGTGAAATAGTTTCTATGACACAGATGATCTCTATTTATTAAACTGTATTTTTCATGTCTTACCTTTAACAACACAAAGCTACCAGAAAAGAAACATATTGTACAGAAAATTAAATTGAAGATAAAAATTTTTAACTCTAAAGAGTGGTTTATGTTAACACCAAAGATCTTGCCTTCTCGTAATTACACTTTTAAAGACCAGTCATTTTGGGAAATTGGATGTCAGAGGACAGAAAACCTTTTAAAGAAAAGTGAACGAAATGTGAAAATGGAACATTTGTTTGCAGATACTGTTGTTGCAACAATTTTTTATAATTTCATGAACATTATCTCGTCACTCTTAGTAAAATGATAACAGAGCCCTACTACAAAGGGAAGTATATAGAAGCAACAGAATTCTGGCTCGTTAGAGTCTGATGAATTGACAATATTAGGCCCTTGCAACAAAAGGACCCAAATAGAACTTATCAAACATTAAAAGAAAAATGGAAGAACATATTAGATGGCATCAATAGTACTATTGTTAAAAAAATTTAATTTTTTTTAAGAATTCTTTATTTTGCGTTTTTCATAAAGTAATGGTTTTACAGAAATAGAGAAAGGTGGATGGTGTGCATATCAAGGATTACAGCATTCTGTACAATTTAGATGTTCTTACATGCAGACATGCAGACATACAGCTTCAACGGCAGGGCAGTGGTTTCGGGTCTAAACTGCTCATGGCTATAAAGGATCCTAGTGGTGGGGCTGTCTAGTTCCCTGTTCGTCGGGGGCCCATCTGCTTTAGTATTGGAGTAGCTGCCTATCTAGTGTGGTCGTAATGGTTGTGGATGACCACACTAGATAGTTATGGCAGAAGTAGAGCCATTTGGTGGTTTGCCCTTCTTTGTGGACCTGTTAGGGTTTTACCGTCCGCAAAGGGCTGGACTATTGTTCATTTTAAAGAAAACTTTTGTTGAAAATTCACTATTAAAATTGTCAAATTTTTGAAAAATTATAATTAAATCAACACTGCTGAATTGAGGGAGAAAAGTAGTACTTTTTATTGGACCTGTTTTCTGCTGGACTTCCTGAACACCTATATCCTTGGTGGGAATGGTATCACTTATGCCTGTTGGATAGAGCAATCCTTATCTGCTCTATTAAACGTGAGTAGTTTTTATCCACGTCATTTTACTCTGCACTCCACATGGTGTACACTGTTTTGGTGTGTCTTTAATATTATTTATATTTTTAGAGGGAGACCACCACCACCGATATCCAAGAGTGGGGATTATACCACTTCAAGCTGAACCTGCAGAGCCACTTTCCAGGCTTCGGAACACGCAAGTGCGCATTCGCTATAATTTTTATCTTTATATTTGTATTTGATATACTGCACCATATATCTTTTATGCTTCTTCTACATATCTACAAGAGTCACCATCACTGTAAGAATTAACTACAAGAACTTATACTCCATACAATCCATAACGGGGATCATTCTGCCCAAGCGCTCAAGTTGGAGCTATATTTTAGCTTAATTTTATTCTACTATGTATTGGAACTGTGACATACTTCACTATTAGCTCTCCATTTTTTTCCTTGTTTTTGTCACATCTACTCCAAGGACATCCCAGCTGCTGCACCACCCCTTGTGTATTCATCTGCTTCTCTACGGGACGAGAGACCCAGTTTCTGGTGATTAAGCTGCCTTTTGGACTATATCAGTATTTGTAAAGCGCTGAATACTTCCTTGTTCTCTACACCTAAATGTATGTTCTGCATGTTCTCTCTAACTCCAACACCACCACTATCTCCTGTGAGTACCTTACTAACACAAACGATCACAGATGAAGTGTGCATTCATGATGTGAGTCTATTTTATCTAGATGTGATCTCCTTGTTATATTTGTTGTGTGGAAATCAGGACAGTGGAAGAGGTTCACGTTCCTCTGCATCGCCAGGGTTGCTCCAGGCACTGCGTGGCAGAGTGAGAGAACCAACTGAACATTATTTGCCCCCTCTCTCTACTGCATTCTAGGAGTGTTGAGATGATATTAACATCGTCCACCACTGTTCCGTACTGTCATGTTACAATCATGGACTAGATAAGTGGAAAGAAAAGGAAACACACAAGAGCGTGGATAATTAGAGGGAGACACAAAAGGGGGTGATGGGGAATGGAGAGGCACACACACCTCCCCAATAAAAAAAAAATCTGCCTACCCCCTTACACTAAAAATAGTGAATCAGGGCCCAATGAATGCATGTAAAATACCTGTAAAAAAATACTATATTTTACACAAGATGTCTTCTTTCTTATTCAATCTGCAGCCCACAAAGGGCCAAATAAACATCCAT